CCAGACACCACCAAACAACTCGTACACTCCCTCATCATCTCACGCCTGGACTACTGCAACTCCCTCCTCACCGGCCTACCCAAACGAGCGCTATCCCCACTCCAGTCTATCCTAAACTCAGCGGCTAGACTCATCCACCTCACCAACCGCTCCACATCCGCCACCCCCCTCTGCCAATCCCTTGGCTCCTGATTGCCCAGCGCATCAAATTCAAACTGCTAACCCGGACCTGACCATTCACAATGCCGCCCCAAACTACATAACTGACCTGATACCCAAATACCACCCTACCCGTGCCCTCCGCTCCTCACAGGACCTCCTACTCTCTAGCTCACTGGTCTCCTCCTCCCACGCCCAATTGCAGGACTTCTCTAGGATTTCCCTCATCCTCTGGAACTCCCTACCCCAGTCCATCAGACTGTCACCTACCCTCCTCACCTTCAGGCGCACCCTGAAAACCCTCCTCTTTAGGGAAGCCTACCCCAACCTCACCTAACACCCGACCTCACCTAACAACTAACCTCCTCACACTCCCCCCACAGCCATCTCCTCCTGTACCACCTTCCCCTCCCCCCTAGATTGTAAGCTCCAAGGATCAGGGCCCTCGAACCCCTCGTGTATTGTATTGTTACTGTCTTGTCTCATGTTCTGCCCCCCTTGCTTGCTACTGTACAGCGCTGAGCATACCCATTGGCGCTATATAAATACTGTATAATAATAATAATAATCTAGCTGCAGATGAAAAGCACTGCGGTGGAAATCTTTGGATCAAAGGGGGCTGTCGAAGCAAAAGATGGTTTTGTCATTTTATCAATGAATGGGCTATTTTTGAATATTGTTTCATCGTTCTACTTTAAAGTCTACTGATTGGTGAGACATTATGTCAGCCTAGCCTAGGTCATCCCTCCTACTACATGAGGCAGAGAGAAAGAGGACGCATGATGGAAACCTTCAGAATGGTCATCCCTCCTAACAGGAGACGAATAACGTGCTCCTTGAACTGCTTGGAGATGGTGATTTTCTCGCTGATCTGAACGTCCTCTGCAAAAAAAAGAAAAAAAAAAGTCAGAAAAATCAAAATGTCTGCGTTACTTTAATAATTGCGCGGTCATGCAACGCTGTACATAAATTAAATTTACGTCCTTTTTTCCCCACAAATAGAGATTGCTTTCTGTGGTAATTGATCCCCTGTGCGGTTTTTATTTTTTTTGCTCTATAAACAAAAAAAAGACCGACAATTTTGAAAAAAAAAAAAAACTCAGTATTTTTTACTTTTTGCTATAAAACATCCAGTACAAAATTTAAAAAAAAATCAAATTTCATCAAACATTTAAGCCACAAATGTATTCTGCTCTGTGTCTTTGCTAAAGCTAAAAAAAAAAAAAAAATCAAATGGCGGTATATATACGGGGATTTTTATTATACTTGTTATGGAGGCGATCAGCGACTTATAGAGGGACTGTGGCGGGCATTCTGACACTGGGGGGGGGGGGAAACTGACTAACTGCCACTGACATCCCCAGTGACACCAATACAGTGATCAGTGCTAACGATACCATCGTGACTGGGAAGCTTGTAAGACCATCTAATCTAGTTGGCCAGTAAGTGGTATCACCCTAATTCTCATGCCCGGACTACTGCAACTCCCTCCTCACCGGCCGACCTCATCACAGACTATCCCCACTCCAGTCTATCCTGAACTCAGCGGCCAGACTCATCCACCTTACCAACTGCTCCGCTTCTGCCACCCCCCTCTGTCATTCCCTCCACTGGCTCCACCCCCCTCTGTCATTCCCTCCACTGGCTCTACCCCCCTCTGTCATTCCCTCCACTGGCTCCACCCCCTCTGTCATTCCCTCCACTGGCTTCCACCCCCTCTGTCATTCCCTCCACTGGCTTCCACCCCCCTCTGTCATTCCCTCCACTGGCTCCACCCCCTCTGTCATTCCCTCCACTGGCTCCACCCCCTCTGTCATTCCCTCCACTGGCTCCCGATTGCCCAACACATTAAATTCAAATTACTAACACAGACATACAAAGCCATTCACAACGCCGCCCCAAACTACCTCCCCGACCTGATACCCAAATACCACCCAACCCGTAATCTTCGCTCCTCACAGGACCTCCTACTTTCTAGCTCCCTGGTCTCCTCCTCCCACGCCCGACTGCAGGACTTCTCCAGGACTTCCCCCATCCTCTGGAACTCTCTACTCCAATCCATCAGACTGTCACCTTCCCTCCTCACCTTCAGGCGCACCCTGAAAACCCTCCTCTTCAGGGAAGCCTACCCCACCCTCACCTAACAGCTGATCTCCTCTACTCCTCCTACCACTCCATCCCCCACAGCCACTTCCTCCTGTACCTCTTCCCCCTCCCTCCTAGATTGTAAGCTCCGAGGAGCAGGGCCCTCGATCCCCTCATGTATTGTATTGTTACTGTATTGTCTCATGTTCTGTCCCCACTATAATGTACAGCGCTGAGCAAACCTTTTGGCGCTATATAAATCCTGTATAATAATAATAATAATATCACACTGTGTCCATACAACAACTAGATTGCCCCAAGTATTGGTCCGCCGGCCTTTCCACACACATGACCTTTAATGGCCCCCCAGTCTTAGTCCGTAGGGTTCAATATTGAGTTGGCCCCGCCCTTTCCACACACATGACCTTTAATGGCCCCCCAGTCTTAGTCCGTAGGTTCAATATTGAGTTGGCCCCGCCCTTTCCACACACATGACCTTTAATGGCCTCCCAGTCTTAGTCCGTAGGGTTCAATATTGAGTTGGCCCCGCCCTTTCCACACACATGACCTTTAATGGCCCCCCAGTCTTAGTCGTAGGTTCAATATTGAGTTGGCCCCGCCCTTTCCACACACATGACCTTTAATGGCCTCCCAGTCTTAGTCCGTAGGGTTCAATATTGAGTTGGCCCCGCCCTTTCCACACACATGACCTTTAATGGCCCCCCAGTCTTAGTCCGTAGGTTCAATATTGAGTTGGCCCCGCCCTTTCCACGCACATGACCTTTAATGGCCCCCCAGTCTTAGTCCGTAGGGTTCAATATTGAGTTGGCCGCGCCCTTTGCAGCTATAACAGCTTCAACTCTTCTGGGAAGGCCGTCCACAAGGTTTAGGAGGGTGTCTATGGGAAGGTTGGACCATTCTTCCAGAAGCACATTTGTCAGGTCAGGCACTGATGTCGGGGGAGGAGGCCTGGCTCACAGTCTCCACTCTAATTCATCCCAAAGGTGTTCTATGGGGTTGAGGTCAGGACTCTGTGCAGGACAGTCAAGTTCCTCCACCCCAAACTGGCTCCTCCATGTCTTTATGGACCTTGCTTTGTGCCCTGGTGGGCAGTCATGTTGGAACAGGAAGGGGCCATCCCCAAACTCCTCCCACAAAGTTGGGAGCATGAAATTGTTCAAGAGTTCCCTTCACTAGAACTAGGGGGCCAAGCCCAACCCCTGAAAAACAACCCCACCCCATAATCCCCCCTCCACCAAACTTTACACTTGGCACAATGCAGTCAGGCAAGTACCGATCTCCTGGCAACCGCCAAACCCAGACATGTCCATCGGATTACTGGACAGAGAAGCGTGATTGGTCACTCCAGAGAACACATCTCCACTGCTCTAGAGTCCAGTGGCGGCGTGCTTTACACCACGGCATCCGACGCTTTGCATTGCACTTGGTGATGTAAGGCTTGGATGCAGCTGCTCGGCCATGGAAACCCATTCCATGAAGCTCTCTACGCACTGTTGTTGGGCTCATCTGAAGGCCACACCAAGTTTGGAGGTCTTTAACTATTGACTCTGCAGACAGTTGGAGACTTCTGCGCACTGTGCGCTTCAGCATGCGCTGACCCCGCCCTGTCATGTGACGTGGCCTACCACTTGGTGGCTGAGTGGCTGTTGTTCCCAGTTGCTTCCACTTTGTTATAATCCCACTAAGCAGTTGAGCGTGGAATATTTAGTAGCCAGGAAATGTCACGGATGGACTTATTGCACAGGTGGCCACCTATCACGGGACCACGCTTGGAGTCACTGAGCTCCTGAGAGCGACCCATTCTTTCACCAATGTTTGTAGAAGCCGTCTGCATGCCTAGGGGCTTGATTGTATACACCTGTGTCCATGGAGGGGATTGGAACACCCGAACCACATGATTTGGGGGGCGGGGCCAATACTTTCGGCAATATAATGTATATCTCCAGTGACTCTGATGAATGTAATTAACCGTTTACTCCAAGGTCCCTGAAGAGGACACGTGGCCACGATTTGAAGTTAGAAGAAAGGAGGTTCAACCTTAGATTGAGGAAAGGATTCTTTACTGTTAAAGCAGCAAAAAATGATGTCAAACCCCCCCCCCCCCCCCTTCCTGCACTCACCTAGGCTCTCTGCCAGCCTGTGCTTGTTCATTTCCTGAGCCTCCTGTCTGAGCTGCAAAGCATATTGGGCAATTTCGTCACTGCCGGCGTTGCAGGTCATGATGAAGATGGCGTCTTTGCACTCGATGGTCTTTCCTTTTCCATCGGTCAGCCGGCCCTGAGAGAGGAGAAACGGGCTTCGTTTAAAAGGATGCCCCCGACACAAAGATATGTCTTAAATTGGAATGCCAGTCAATATTTTGGAAAGAGAGGACAAGGGTGAGAACCTGTTGAACCCCTCGCCTACTGGGCACTGTCAACCCCCCCTGCCCAGGCCAATTTCCAGCTTTCAGCGCTGTCGCACTTTGAATGACAATTGCGCGGTCATGCAACATTGTACCAATATGAATTCTTTATCATTTTTTTGAGACAGATAGAGCTTTCTTTTGGTGGTATTTAACCACCTCTGGGGGGGGGGGGGGGGTTATTTTTTGCTAAACAAACCAAAAACAACTGAAAATTGTGAAAAAAAAAAATTTTTTTTCTTAGTTTTTGTTTTAAAATTTTGTAAATAAGTGATTTTTCTCCTTCACTGATGTGCGCTAATGAGGCTGCAGTGATGGGCACTGATAGGTGGCACTGATGAGGAGGCACTGGTAGGTGGCACTGACGGTCATTGACAGGCATCACTGATGGGCACTGAAAGGCAGCACTCATATGGCACTGATAGGCGGCACTGACTGGCACTATTAGATGGCACTGATAGGCGGTACAGACTAGCACTGATAGGTGACACTGAAAGGCAGCTCAGATGGGCACTGACGCATGTGGCATTGATGTGGCACTGATGGGAACTGACAGGTGGCACTGCTGGGGTTACACTGATCATCAGTGCCCTGATGATCAGTGTAGATGTCCCCTCCGTGGAATGCCCATTACCGGCTCTCCTCTCCTCTGTCAGCATGACAGCTCGAGAGGATAGAAATGCCGATAACCGGCATTTCCCAATTTACATGCGATCAGCTCTGATTGGACACAGCTGATCACATGACCGAGACAACATCTTTGGCTCTTTCCACCCGAGGGACACAGCACACCACCGATCGCTGCGCTGCATGCCCCCTGGAGCCACGCACGCACAGTCAGAGTGGGAGGACGTCATATGACATCCTCCCAGAACGAGGGAACCGCCTTGCGCCCGTCATTACCTTATATGGCGGGCGGGAGGCGATTAAAGTTTTTTGCTGCTGCCTGCGTTCCAGTTGGGGGAACTCTTCCCCTTACTTCCCATTCTTGTGACTACGCAGGAAGTGCGGGGCTTAATCTCCCAAATGGGGGACACAGGAATAAAAACCTAATTGGGTTTTCTAAGTTGAGAATGGAAACATTTTGGATTTTCCACTCCAAAACCAATCAGCAGGTCACAGGGAGATTCGAGAACCCCGGATTTCTGGCAGGTCACAGGGAGATTCGAGAACACCGGATTTCTGGCAGGTCACAGGGAGATTCGAGAACACCAGATTTATGGCAGGTCACAGGGAGATTCGAGAACCCGGATTTATGGCAGGTCACAGGGAGATTCGAGAGGTTTCCCCCGGATTTCTGGCAGGTCACAGGGAGATTCGAGAACCCCTAAATTTGGGGTCCCTGCCTGAACCAGCCTGATTTCTGGCAGGTCACAGGGAGATTCGAGAACCCCGGATTTATGGCAGGTCACAGGGAGATTCGAGAACCCCGGATTTCTGGCAGGTCACAGGGAGATTCGAGAACACCGGATTTATGGCAGGTCACAGGGAGATTCGAGAACACGGATTTATGGCAGGTCACAGGGAGACTCAAGAACACCGGATTTATGGCAGGTCACAGGGAGATTCGAGAACACCGGATTTATGGCAGGTCACAGGGAGATTCGAGAACCCCGGATTTATGGCAGGTCACAGGGAGATTCACAAGAACCCCGGATTTATGGCAGGTCACAGGGAGATTCGAGAACACCGGATTTTATGGCAGGTCACAGGGAGACTCGAGAACACCGGATTTCTGGCAGGTCACAGGGAGATTCGAGAACACCGGATTTCTGGCAGGATCAACATGTATTTTCTGCACTTGCTGATAATTGCTGGTAGCTTGAAACTATAAAACTAATGCAGGCCAACAATCTGCAATATCTCCTTCTTAGGTTTGGATACATTGTAATAAAATAGTTTGGAGAGATACATTAATATCGATTTTTTTTTTTTTTTTTAAGAAAACCGAAGTTGCGCTTTATCGGTCGTCACGTTCTCACGCCGTAACCGTCTTCTCTCGGGGGAGCCGGGCGCCTCGCACACACCCACTCCCAGCGTTTTCAGGAAATAATAACAGAGGCTTTTGCTGCTCCCCAGCCACTCGGCGCTCTGACAGATGAAATCTTTCCCGGGCGCTGAAGATTAACACGCCGTTTATTAGCCTGCCGAGGAATTGATTTCACATTTGGCTTCTGTAGCGATGATCTATGCACAGAGGATTACTATATTAATCCCGAGGACGGGGAGAGGGAAGTGGCGGTTTATGGTCGGGGAGCGTCCCCGGAGGAGACGTACACAAAAAAACCTCTTATGCCTCACGCAGCCATGACAGGGACCTGTGTGTGAGAGGCGATGTGACAGCTGGAGGGGGTCATCCTCTGCGATCACCCTTCCCCTGCCCAGAATTCACTACTATTACCTTACCGAGTCCTTTGTATACATACTAACCCCCATTCTCCTCCTTATTCTGTGTCCCAGCACACAGCTTGCATCAGGATTGAGGGCTCTTGAGTAGCCATGATCTACATGCATTGCATAGGGAAGCACAGAGACCCAGTGTGATGACACCACTGGGTCTACAATGAGGATTTTGTAATGGAAATTGAAAGGTTTTATTTAGCATGTAAATGAGGGGCTTCTGTAGGGGAGGAACCAGGGAAGGAAAAATAAAAGCAGCTGCAACTTTATCTGTACCCTCAGCTCTCCCACCCTTACTCTCCCGTCCCCAATGATCCTGCCCTTAACCCCAACTCCCTCCTCCTCCCTCCCTTACCCTCACCCTCCCCTCAGTATTGCTAAACCTCTCATATTCATTCTTTCTCTACCTTCATCTCCCTTTATATCTTTTTCTCATCCCCATCTCTCCATAACTCTGTCCATAGCCACCATCCTCCTGACTGCTGCAGCCTTACCCTTCGCTCCTCCCTAAATCCTGCCTTTATCTTCACCTCCACCCTATGACCTCCTTATTCCCGCCTCCAACTGCACCCCCCTTCTGTACTTCACCCCTTAAGCCTATCCTTGTCCTCTACTTCCTCCCTTATTCCTTCCCTTCCCCTCGCTTCCCTCCTTACTCCTGCCCTTCCCCTCGCTTCCCCCTTTATTCCTGCCCTTCCCCTCGCTTCCCCCCTTATTCCTGCCCTTCCCCCCCTTATTCCCTGCCCTTGCACCCCCCCGCTTCCCCCCTTATTCCTGCCCTTCCCCTCGCTTCCCTCCTTACTCCTGCCCTTCCCCTCGCTTCCCCCTTTATTCCTGCCCTTCCCCTCGCTTCCCCCCTTATTCCTGCCTTCCCCCCCCCCCTTATTCCTGCCCTTCCCCCCTTATTCCTGCCCTTCCCCCCGCCCTCCCCCCTTATTCCTGCCCTTCCCCTCGCTTCCCCCCTTATTCCTGCCCTTCCCCTCACTTCCTCCCTCACTCCTACCCTTACCCACTCACTTCCCCCCTCATTCCTTCCCTTCCCCCCTTATTCCTGCCCTTCCCCCCCCCGCTTCCCCCCTTATTCCTGCCCTTCCACTCGCTTTCCCCCATTATTCCTGCCCTTCCCCCCTTATTCCTGCCCTTCCCCTCGCTTCCCCCCCTTATTCCTGCCCTTACCCTCACTTTCCCCTTTATTCCTGCCCTAACCCTCACTCCCCTCCTTACATCTGCTCTTACTCTCACTTTCCCCGTTACTCCTTCCCTTACCCCTACCTTTACCCTCACTTCCCTCTTTCTGTCCTTACCCTCCTCTTATTCTCAACTCCTTACGGTCACTTCCCCCATAACTCCTGCACTTACCCTTACTTCCTCCCTTACACCTGCCCTTATCCTCCCTTCCTCCTGCCTTTACCCTCACTTCCACCTGCCTACACCATCACTTTGTCCCTTATTCCTGCCCTTACCCTCTCTTCCTCCCTTACTCCTGCCCTTACCCTCCCTTACATTCACATGCCATTACATTCACTTCGTCCCTTACATCTGCCCTTACCCTCACTTCCTCCTTTCATCTGCCATTACCTCTCACTTCCTCCTCTTTACATCTGCCATTACCCTCACTTCCTCCCTCTCACTCTGCCCTTACCCTTGCCCTTACCCTCTCCCTTACTCTGCCCTTACCCTCACTTCCTCCCTTACTCCTCCTTACCCCTTCCTCCCTTACTCCTGCCCTTACCCTCACTTCCTCCCTTACATCTGCCCTTACCCTCACTTCCTCCCTTACTCCTGCCCTTACCCCTCTTACCCTCTTCCTCCCTTACTCCTGCCCCTTCACTACTCCCTTACATCTGCCCATTACCCTCACTTCCTCCCTCACTCCTCACTTCTCCCTTACCCTGCCCTTACATCTGCCCTTCCCTCTCACTTCCTCCCTTACTCCTGCCCTTACCCTCACCTTACATCTGCCCTTACCCTCACTTCCTCCTTGCCTGCCATTACCCTTCCTAAGCCCTTACCCTCACTTCCTCCCTTACTCCTGCCATTACATTCACTTCCTCCCTTTACCTGCCCTTACCCTCACTTCTTCCCTTACATCTGCCCTTACCCTCACTTCCTCCCTTACTCCTGCCCTTACCCTCACTTCCTCCCTTACATCTGCCCTTACCCTCACTTCCTCCCTTACTCCTGCCCTTACCTTCACTTCCTCCCTTACATCTGCCCTTACCCTCACTCTGCCCCTTACCCTCCTTCTTCCCTTACATCTGCCCTTACCCTCACTTCCTCCCTTACTCCTGCCCTTACCCTCACTTCCTCCCTTACATCTGCCCTTACCCTCACTTCCTCCCTTACTCCTGCCCTTTCCCTCACTTTTCCCCTTACATCTGCCCTTACCCTCACTTCCTTTTCTTACATCTGCCATTACATTCACTTCCTCCCTTACCCTCACTTCCTCCCTTACTCCTGCCATTACATTCACTTCCTCCCTTACTCCTGCCCTTACCCTCACTTCTTCCCTTACATCTGCCCTTACCCTCACTTCCTCCCTTACTCCTGCCCTTACCCTCACTTCCTCCCTTACATCTGCCCTTACCCTCACTTCCTCCCTTACTCCTGCCCCCTTACCCTCACTTCCTGCCCTTACTTCCTCCTGCCCTTACCCTCACTTCTTCCCTTACATCTGCCCTTACCCTCACTTCCTCCCTTACTCCTGCCCTTACCCTCACTTCCTCCCTTACATCTGCCCTTACCCTCACTTCCTCCCTTACTCCTGCCCTTACCTTCACTTCCTCCCTTACATCTGCCCTTACCCTCACTTCCTCCCTTACTCCTGCCCTTACCCTCACTTCCTCCCTTACATCTGCCTTTACCCTCACTTTCCCCTTACTCCCTTACCCTCCTCCTCCCTTACCCTTACTTCCTCCCTTACTCCTGCCCTTACCTTCACTTCCTCCCTTACATTCTGCCCTTACCCTCACTTCCTCCCTTACTCCTGCCCTTACCCTCACTTCCTGCCCTTACCCTCACTTCCTCCCTTACTCCTGCCCTTACCCTCACTTCCTGCCCTTACTCCTGCCCTTACCCTCACTTCCTCCCTTACTCCTGCCCTTACCCTCAGTTCCTCCCTTACTCCTGCCCTTACCCTCACTTCCTCCCTTACTCCACCCTTTACTCTTTCACACTTGTCCCTTAGCTCCCAATGGTCGCCCAATGGTGGTGAAGTCTGGGAAGTGCATTAACAGTTCAAGTGTGAACTACTCATTTCAGCCATGTTGGATATTTGGAAATGAGAAGGTAATGCAGATCCGAATCAATACTATATCTCCCTATATACATCTTACAGAGATCATATAACAATTCCTGGACCCGTCTGACTGCGGTTGGTTCAGGATACAAACTG